CCTCGGAGATGATAGTACCAAAATGCGATGTCACCATTCAACTCCCTTTCGAAGGTGATGATGTAAGACAACTCATACGAAGACGGCCAGTGGCGACTGTAGCTCGTACGTATTTTGCTGCAAATCCGGCCGTTCGTTTCTCAACAACCCAGATTCCGAAGCCCTTGGTGAAATCACCGCTCCCTCTGTCCGCCAAATCCCATGTAACCTATGAATTTCAATGTGGGTGCGGAGCTACCTACGTGGACAGAACAGAGAGACAGCTGCGTACCCGAGTGGTTGAACACCTCTGTTTTACTTTTGGAAAATCTCAGTGTTGCCCAGCGAATAAAATTACAGTCTGTTCTTTGACAAGCTTTGCCCTTTCTCCGGGTAAACATTTTGGTAAAAAAAAGCTAAGCGACGAAATACAACCGAAGCACGGTGATGAAATCAAAGAAAGGAGAAGGAATACATTCATGGCTTTGGACTAATAGAGCCCACAAAGCCAAAAACTGACAACAAATGAGTGAACATTTCACAATTTACGGACGCAAATTTCCTCTGAAATATATATCGCCTGCATTCGACGGAAACGATTAAAACAACCGCCAAAAAACTGTGATTCCATTTACCTGCGACCAACTTGAGCCTCGGTTCGCTTCTTCAACAACTCGAAACACGATCCGAGAGGATGAACGAATACGGGCTCGGTTTGATTGGCTGAGTCGTTAGTCATATGACTTGGTGATCTGTGGAAGCCAAAGGCAAACAACTGGTTAAGTGTGTGCGTGTGTGTGTATGATAATATAAGAACCACGAAGTTGGATGCATTCTGACGACAGAACAGAACCAAATGCAAACAGGCATGGGAGAATGTGTTGGGCAATAAGAGAAGACTGACTTTGTTTACAAAAATATCAGCTTTTTATAAACCAAAACAGGACTGTACAAAATACGTTCGCATTGAAATTAATACAAAGTAAGTGTTCCCAAGGGATAACCTAAAGCAGATATGACACGGATAGCGGGTCCCGCTCCACCAACAACTAATACACCAAGAGGACGTCGGGATGGTGATGAGCTTAACTCCGCATCATTGTCTCGATCTCCGTTCTCAAAAAGTGTGATATCATCCATGATCGAGTCCTCTTCATCCAACGGAAGCCCAGCAGAAGAAATAGGTCTAATCACCATCACGTGACCCAACTGTGCATTCGGTGGATCACTCAAGGATACAGAAGAAACCAGTGAACCACCGTGATCCCATCGGTACAACTGTCCGGAATTTCCCCCGGCCACAATTCGGGGCTCGTGATTGGGGAAGGAGAAAACCGAGGTTTGTGCATACCACGAGTCCGAAAAAGCTGATCAGTAGAAGTATGAGGGTGGAGTCGGGGGTAAATACGTCATTATGCAATTGTGTGGATTGGGAAAAATTTCAAAAGTAGTGAAATAAGCAAGCAAGATATGATTCAAAAGAAGGAATGAGGTGATAAAAAACAATATTTGGAAACCACAAAATGCGTCCCCCAATACTTCGTCGACGACGAAAATGAACAGGAATTGCGCTACGAGACACTTTTGAAGAGCATCAATTCTGGTTTCGAAAAAGCTGCTTGGCTTGCCGTAGATCATTAGGCTACGAGAGGTATGAATATAATTACCTCTGGAGTATTCTGCCAAGAAGCCATGACCCCAATAAGACGTCATACTAAGCTGAGTCAAAAGGCACACAAGGAACACAGCGATCATTAGGCGACAATGACGTAAATAAAGGATTTGACGCAATGTTAAGATTCCGTTAATACAATCACGACCTGGTAAGGGACCTGCTCGGTGTTTGGTGGTGGAGGACGTGTTTTTGAATCCCACCACCATCGCCTGACTTTCCCCCATTGTGGGCTGTATAGTAGTTCTTTGATTGGCCAATTTCCCTTCCTGAAATTCTACCATCATGCATTCAACAAAAAGAAGGAAAAATGAAAAAGCAAAGAAGGAATATTCATCTCACAGTTAAAAGTATCACAGAAGCTAAAACTTTGGTGACCACTAGAACCAAACTCACCTCATGGTTGTCGTGAGGTCCCTTTTTAAAGACTGGAGTGATCAACCGTTTACTCCAGAATGGAAGGGTAGACTGTTCACTGCAAATGCTGCGCAGAAAACCAATAATAGAGTGGATGACAGAATCACCCTCACCCATCTTAAAAAGAATGAAGAGAAGCCCAACAGACCCGATTGTCCCTCGGGTCGCCCGTGATTGAATTCAATATCGTACGTCTACTTCCGACGGGGTTCACATGAAACGGAAAAACCGTGCGAAGACCAGGATAAAATACTCTCCCAGCAGTGAAACCACTGCTCCTTGTGATGAATGCCCTGCCCATTTTTATCCTATACGATTTTCCTAACTGGAACTTTAGTACCCTCAGCGTTGCGCATCAAGTAGAACAGCCTGGTCCTCACCTCAGAGAGCGGTTGCTTTCATTTCACTACCTACTTTGGACCAACAGTTTTTACGGTCTTTCCTTAGGTTTCTCCTGGATGGGCGTTGCAGACGACACCTTTACGTGTACTGATTCACACAGACTGAACTAAGGACTCCTTTGAGATCTAATGTTTTGGATGAACTTCCGGTTCATTTAATTACATTGTTAATCTACTCCGATATGCCACAGTGACCGAGCTCATACCTCGGCTTTTTCTCACCACGGGGGGCAACCAGCTGGGTTACGCAGACTAAAATTTGCTAACCGAGGCAACGACTTTAGCGGCAAAGGCATCGAGGCTTAAAGTGCATCGGGAATGGTGCGAGATCACACTTGAATCAGGTGGTACAACAGGACCTGCGACTTTGTGCAGAGCCAAGCCAACGGTTGCATACAGCAGTGGACATTTTTAGTCAACTTGCTCGCTGAACTGGAACGTCGTATTATCGTTTGCTTAGAGTTTTGTCGATAAACGGTAGAGATCAGCACAAAAGTAAAGTAGTCTACTACTGTTGTCCGTCCTCTAAGTGGGCAGAGAGGACCAACCACTTACAGCGGATTCTGATGAGCTCAGTTTTTTAACCTGCCCCTTAAAACCACCCACCTGACTATGATGAATGACTAGAATTAAGCTCAAAATTCGAAATCTTTCATATAAATCCGATCTTGAGTAAATAAAAAATATAAAAAACGTACAAAAGGAGAACAGAAAAACGGTATGAATGATAAGAAAGCAACAGCAGTAAACGGCAGAAGTAAAAAAAAGTACTGATTAAAAACTTTGTACACGAAGCCAACAACAATCAAACGCGAATTGGTTCTAACTGGGGAAATCAAGACATCCTTTTTCTTGTGAAACAGATAACAGGAAAAGCGGATAAAAAGTGTGGATCGGCAAGTCTACTCCACGATAACATACCAAACTGACAAACACCCATGCACACCGGATATACATAGATATATATATATATATTTTACAACTTAGTGTACGCCTCCATTCTCCCTTGATATATATATGTATATATATATATATATATTGGTCGCAGTCAGTTGATAATTGTATCGGGCTTACCGTCCGGATGTAGTGGTGTCACATGCCTTCCAGCGCGACGATTCCACAAGGACAAACTAGGCCCACCACCGGTAACAAACCAATTCCAATCTGATGAATCACAGGAAACGGTGGTCAACCACCGACCAATATGTGGCCTTGCCAAGCAAGATACCTCGTACGGATGAAATGTGGCCACAGCCTGAGCATCCAAACCGTCGGGCAATGACCGTGTTTCCCAAAAACGGACGGTACCCTCTTCGGAACAAGTAGCAAACTGTGGTAAGGAATTCAAATGGTATCGCATACGATAGAATGTACATGTGATACATGGAACGTAAAAAACAGACCCCATCATGAAAGAACTGCTCTAATTATCAAATGTTTACTACTCGTTGTTTGTCATATCCTCGATCGAACACAAGAATCACTGGTGTATTCCATTCGGAAGTTACCCGAGAAACAAGCTAACTCAAAAGACATAAGGCTTACGGCCCAGACGGGTTGTCCCCATCGGTTTTTAAGGATGGAGGTTCAGCGCTGGTTTCGGTGTTACCAAAACTCCTGCGCTCAGTGTGACAAAGCGAACAAGTTTCAACTAAATATTGCGAACCCGTGATCCAACCCATTTACAAGAATGGCGACAGGTCCTCCTGTGCAAACCACAGAGGAATTAATTT